TAGATTTGGTGAAGGCAAATTGCCAAAGTTCAAACTGAGCATCAGAATGAGAAAGAAGAGGAGTTTAAGGGACTTTGAACGAGGCATGGTCTGAGTACTCACAATCAGAAACCTCGCAATCTTTTGAGATTTTGATGCACAAGCATCTCTCAGGTTTACGGAAACAGAAAATGACTTGTTAATATGCCCACCAGTGGAAAACCACAAAAACTTAGACCACTAGGAACAAGAAACTGAGGATAATTCTCACCAAAATTTGACGATGTCTGATGAAAAAATGTTGCAGAGTCAATGACTCTCTGACCATGTCCATCCTGGTCCTGGTCATGACCAGTGTACACATCTTCTACTGGCGTCTTCCACCACAATACTGTAACATATATTCCGCACGATAAGGCGCACTGGATTATAAGGCGCACCTTCAATGAATGGCCTATTTTAAAACTTTTTTCATATATAAGGCACACTGCATTATAAGGCGCATAGAATAGACGCTACAGTAGAGGCTGGAGTTACGCTATGATTTTTTGAACAAGACATTGAATTCACTGTACCCCAAAGGTCTCCATGGTCACCAGATCCTAGTCCAGTTGAGGAACTTGGGGATGTAGTGGATTCACAGCAATAAAACATTGTGGTGGATAGATATGGGTTCTCTCTCTATTCTTTCTAATAGACTTTCTTTCTAATAGAATAAAACAGACTTTGGACACACATCTCCAAAGTCTGTTTTTTCACCTACAGATGGCTGTGGGTAAGAGATGTCCTCACAATTAGGGGTGCACCGATTTATCGGCTCTGATTTAGTTAATTTTGGGAGAACTGTGATCAGTCAATACTTACCTGTGAAGCCGATCTTACCTCCCGATCTTCTCTACCTCAGTAAAAGTCTAAAAATCAACCACTTGTCATCTTCTGCACTCCTGTGAGAAAGGTTTGACTGATAGATCCCCCAACCAGGTCCTGTCTGCAGCTATGCAGTTAACAGTGGTCACCCCATTATTACTGACTTAGTGGCTTTTGGCTATATTTAGGCAAAAGACTCAGCAGGTCAAGGTGTTTAAAGATCGGTAATCTTCAATCAGCAAGAGAACCGCAATCAGCGCAGCCTTGCTCACAATCTAACTTCGGAGGTCATGGTAAGCTCCTTTACATACTTTTAAAAAAATTAGTTGAACTACGCAGAAATAAGCACTAGAAAACCATTTTTCTAGCTCAGCAGGTCATCAACACTTTAATGCACCCGCTTATCCCAGCACACAGAGGAGCATTGAACCCAGATCCTGAGGGAATAAGGGCCTCTTTATGAATTCTGTCCACTTTGACTTGATCTCATAGATCTTCAACTATGTAAAAACCAAACTATGACCACAACGAGCTGCAGTGCATGCTCTAGGCAGGGGTGTCCAAAGTTGGTCCTCGAGGGCCAGCATCCTGCACGTTTTAGTTCTCTCCCTGGTGGTAGCGACAACCTTTTCAGCTTGTCTATATTCCTCTTAGGGCTTCTAACGAGCTATCATTTGATGCAGGTGCGTTAAACCGACTTTGGGCACCCCTACTCTAGAAGGTAATGCACGGGGGAATTCTGTCTTTGCGGCAACATATAAAGCAAAAGAGCCCAGCCAACATTTCTTATTTGCTGTGCGCATGAAAACATGTCTATAGATTAGTGGTTTTGTGATGACAGAGCAGTTGTAAAACAAACTGTTTACTCTCAGCAGCCAGCACAGCACTGCAGTGCAGTCACGTGTGACGTTTCAATAGTTCAGACCCCTGTTACATCTCAGCTACTCTGATTCGTCGTCGTAAAAACAGAGAAATCATACAGTCTCCTCACCTTCCCTTCTGCTCCATTACAGACCCAGGTCCATTTAGCATTTCTCTGGATCTGGCCAACTGTTGGCATCTGGCTAATGACAGTTGTGGTGGTGACAGATTGGTCGTCCTGGTATTTGCTTTTTCTCCAGTGCCGGAAGCCACTGGCACAAAGCAAGATTTAAATTGTACATCGCGCTCATTGGAGAAGAGATGAACCATCAGAAGTTGGCTCAGCAGTTGACAGGGAGGAGGAGGCCAGAGTAGAGGTGGAAGGATTGCCTTGAGTCAGTGGAAGTTTGGATCAGAGAGCTGTGTTGAATGATGACACAAAAAGCATATTTAATGTTTTTTCTCAGAAAAACTTTCAGATATAGCTTTGACCATACTCCAACTTTAAGATGTAAAGCAGGAAAAAAAAAGAAAGCTTTGTTTACTGGCTCAGTTATTTTTTCACACAAGTTCACCAACTTAATCTTCCACTCCATTCACAAAGATGGCAAATACTCACCAACAGCAGGACTACTTTACCCTTTTCTAGTCAGTTGCTATTATCAACACACAAAATTCATGTCTAAAATTAGCTTTGCTGTCATCTTAGCGTTATTAGCACCTTATCGCTTTGCTGTGTTCCCCGCTTCCATAGAGAAAAGGAACTGACCCTCGCCCAGATTTAGTCTTTCGCAAAATGCCTCTTCATACTGCTGGAGGTTGCTGAAGACATGTCCTTAAAGCGCTCCGTGATGTGGGAACATTCCCGAGAGAAGAAACATTTAACCAGACACTTCGAAGAGGCTCCGATGCCGGAGGGCCATTTAAGGAACAGAACATTTTGACTTGTCCACTCGCAACTTCTGCATAACTGAACTTGGACTACAACATTGCTGTGAGGAAGGAAAAATGGCGGATTCACAAAACTCGTTAGCCAGGAGTCATGTTCCACAGCGGTGATATATCATAGCCAAGGAAACGTAGGCAGTAGAGAAAAAATATCAGATTGTAAAATATAACCCAAAAAGAAAGGCATTATTTCTTAATACAAAATAAAAGAAATAGAATTTAATGGATGTAGTGTTGTTGCAAACTCATGTACAGTAGGTGGCGCTTGTGATTCGCCATAACAGAAAAGAAGAAGAACTTAAAGACATCTACGCAGCACCGGGAGAGAATACTTTTTTCCCCCCATACTCATTGACACGCATAGTACAAAACAATTATTTAAGGGCTAAAAAGGTAGATTTTACATGAAGTATCCCCTTTAAAGAAGCAAACATAATAATGTCGTCTGCAAAAAGTAGCTTTCCAAGCAACCTCAACACTAACTTTCTGCGTCTTAAGATTATTTTATGAAGGGTCTCTAAAGTTCCTTCCCTCAAGATTCCAGAAGGGAAATCAATATTTATGGTGCAGTTTTTCCACACCTCTGCCTTTGCTAATTTATAGAAATGACGCAACACATTCAGTATAACCTAAGTCAAAATGTAAAAGATCTGAAAATCTGCGCCAGCGGTACATCACACTCATTCTGTGCCAGATCAGCAGCAGCAATCTGACATTGTGAAGCTGAGCAGTGTGTGATATGAGGAGTGACCCGAGTGTGTGGAGGGTAAACGGAGAGAGTCCCTCAGAGATGGGGGAGGAGGGGGTCATGCTTGTTCTCCCTGGCCCTCTTTTTAGAGTTCAGACAAGTCCCATGATGATAGGAGATTAATGAAGCTGCTCTGGCACTGTGATCCCTACAGGACACACAGTCACAGGCATACAAGGACTATTCATTCTAGATTATCACAGCTTTCATCTACCTCACTCCAGCAATTTTACATCCGAGAAGGGTTTTCTTTTTTCTCCTTCCACCGATAAAACTCGACACATCCTTTCAGCTCTATGCATTTGTCATTTATGTCAAGTCAGAAACAAAACAGCCTCAGCGACATTTTGAGGATGTCTTTTAGCAATGCGAGTACAGTGATGATATAAGCAAGCTGCACCACATCTCAGAGAAGGATGTCGCATTAACACATGGACTTATCTCCTGCCTGCAGTCAGGTCATCTGGTCTCGCAGAACAACACTGCCCCCCTGTGGGTGATCATATGTACTACAATCTTACCTGGCTTTGCGGTCAAGTATTCATCTGAATGGTGAAATGCACTTTAGGAACTATCTGGATCAGAATAACACACACAACAGGATAAAAAAAATAACTTTTGATTTTGATATTTAATTGATGTGTAAATATTTAATTTGTTACCTCCCATTGTGGTGTTTCAGACATTCAAAAAACTAAAGCATGTTTCTCCCCCAACCACTTAAATCTTTTTCAGATTGCTTGGGTAATGCCTCTATTCATGAAATGTAAACAACAGGGTTTGAAAAAAATTTGTAGAATTAATTTTTCTTGTTGGCTATCAAATGCAGAACCAGAACCAAGAAGAATGTCTGACTGGAGTCAATGATTCATGTATTTTTTTCTTTATAACACAGGTTAATCTCAGATGATCCAGAAAATGTCTCATTTACCTTTGACAATGGTGGGCACCTCTAGCTAAAACGTTAGTTGTACTAATCCTAAAGTGCTAATCCGAGAAGGGTTAGTGGAACATTAGTTCCACTAACCTTGAAATGCTACACCAACACTAAGGTACCCTACTACTACGGTATTTAGTAGAACCTAATGCTAAAGCGCTAGCTTCATTCAAATTATATCTGCCCTTGAAAAATGACAATTGTTGAGCACCAAATTAATTTTAACATGTTACGTCTTACAACACCCTAAAATATATTGTCTTTATGTTTATGTCTTGCTTTCTTTTGTCTTTCTGTATGTTTTAAAATTCCTGGGTAAAAAAAAAGAAAAAACAGAACTGCTGTGTAAACAATTTTCAACTTTCAAATTAAGAGCATCTGACTACTTGAAATAGATAAAACTTCAACACAGATGTTAAACTTTATTCAGCTCAAAGTTTTCAAAACTAGCGATTTGGAATTTATCCAGAACAATTAACTTAGAGGAAGTCAAGTGTGCTAAATGTTTTAAAAGTTAGCAAAAATTCTAAACTGCTAAAGAAGTATCTCATTACTAGCTCATTAGCAGAACTGCACCCACCTGGATCCATAGGGATCGAAAAACACTTTAGTCAATTGTACCCGATTACAACACACTATTCAAGAAAAATCAAAACTTCATACATTGCAGAATTTATTTACTTATTAAAGTAAAATTAATTTCACAATATATCCACAATCCATTGTTGTGGCTCTTCTTTCAGTCATCTACGTTTTGAATATATATATAAAAAAAACACCTGAACACACTTTTCCACCTAACTTGAAACAGCGAGTGAAATTTATTTGAATTAAATAAAGTCTGGTACATTTCACAGCTATAGGAGCCTACACAGTAAGCAGAACGTCTTGTTGTCCGTATGCAGAACTACGCCACAGGGTAGTCCGTGACAGTTTTTGTCGCGTAAATACTGCCGGGGACATGATGGCAGCAGCCAGATATTGCTCCCTATTACATAATAATAAAAAAAAGGAGATACAAAGAAACTTGTGCGACTTTAGGAAGCATTTATACTGTTTTCCTCCAATATACGTCACCAAATCGTCATGCTTTGAAAAGAAAACCACTGAAGTTTTTTTTTTTTAATTAACACAACGACATGATTAATAATGTTATAGTGTTGTATATTTAGCCTCTAAAATTAACAATTAATCTCTCAAGGATGTTTGTCTTCTCTAAAATCATTTCTCAGTAGTTCCGTCCAGTTAGGAAGATCAATGATCACCGATTCAGGAAAGCACAGCCTGAGAGTTCTTGATACCGATCATATTATCTGCACTCATTGACCTCCTCATGGAAGATTTGCTCAAGTCCTTGTACTTGTCTTCACACAGCCTGGATATGGCCTACGGAAAGTGTAAGCACAAACGTTTAGTGCCCGAAAACAAGGCCAAAAGGGACAGCAAAGAAAAAAAAATAGAAACACTTTACGCACCTCCAGTTTCTGGGCTCGCTTGTTGCTGAGTGGCTCCAGAGGGAAGCTGAGGTTGTTGTCATCGGCCAGAGAGCGCAGGTCAAAGTAATACTTGGCGTAGACGCTAGCCGGAACGTTGATGTTAAACTGTAGCAGCTCCAAGAAGTGACGCTCCATCTCATTCCTGACCAACGCAAAGATCTCATCAGTTGTTTCAGAACTAAAGTCCTTCTTAAAAGAAAGCCAGATGAGGAGCAGCACTCACATGTCCTCTACTGTGATATCCTTTAGGATCTGGCAATAATCGACGTTCCAGACAGCCTGGTCGTCCCAGACTTTGGATGCTAGCAAGATGGCGCCAAGAACAATCCGCTTCCAGTTGGAGGGACAAATGTCTATCTCAGCATATGTCAAAAGCCTTTCAAGGTACACCTGAAAGGAGACAAATCATCCAAATGGGAATACCACTGTGCCAAACTGTGAAACCTTCCATCTTACAGATAGAAATACAAGATGTGCTTACCAGAGTAACAATGGCGCACTCGGCGGTGAGCTGCGCCGAGCTGAAGAGCGTCCTGATGAAGCGGTAGATGAGTTTGTGATCGGGATCAACCACAGAATAATCATCTGGAACCTTTTCTCTCTGTTGGGAGGGAGACTCAGTTTCATCAGATCCCACTGAACAAGTGAACTAACGTTTGGTTAGAGACTTACCGACAGAGGGTGCTTCTTCTCATCGAATATATCCAGCGAGCGGTTGGAATCTCTGCAGAAACAGCAGTATGATGACTAAATGGTACAATATATCCAGAACCACAAAGAGCTTAACTTTTAAATGTCAAGGATTGTCTTTAAAAATGGGACAAACAAGAAATACCATAAACCCCCTGTACTTGCGGTGGTTTAAGACCCCCACTAAGAATATTAATAACTGCCTAGCCAATCAGCATCAAGCAAAATATATGGTGCTTCCTGGATTGGCTGCTTTGCAAATGACAGCATGTCAAGTAGTATTGCATGGGAGTATTTTAGCTTTCAGCTTGCTGTAAGAAGAGGAATACATGACAACATTCCAAACTTTTCCTACCTGTTTTTGATGTGATAGTATATGGCCAAAGCAACACTGGAAAAGACAGAATTAATTTAAAAAAAAAAAAGAATATGTCTGCATCTATCAGTAACTTTTTGAACGAAAGGGGTGAGAATGCTTACCATCTGATGGTGCTCTTAAGGTTTGGCTGACTGACTGTGCTGTCGTCGATAAAAATTGTTGAACAAGAGCTGTATTTTTTAGTCAGGAGTCCTGGGGACATCTGGAACGTTAACAACAATCAGCATTAAAACAAGGATTTTTCAAGTTGACAGTCCTAGCTTATTTACATGCTTATTTCCCTATACCAAACATCTCCATCAAGCATTATCAAATGCTTACTTTCTGCTTTATGCTGATGATACTGTGATTTAATGCACATCAACTACTCCTAAGCATAAGATAAAACTGGGCTACCATTTGTGTTTGGGAGAAAATTCAAATGGTCCTGAATTTTGGGAGATCGACCTACATGTAAAACCGATCTTATCCACCAATCTTTTCTACCTCTGCAAATGTCTGAAAATCAGCCACTGTCCCCTTCTGCATGGGAGAGGGCCGAATGAGATGCCCGCCCACCGGGTCACACCTGCACATGCATGGTTAATAGCAGTCACCCCACTGTTGCCAACTTAGAGACTTTGTCGCTATATTTAGTCATTTTTCAGAAAAAAAATGTAAAAATCGTTAAGGGACAAAATTTGAATCATCGGGTCGAGCGATCTGGTGATCGACCAATCACTGCAATCGGTGCACCCAATTTCAATGTTAAATTGTTATGATCATCTGAAATATTTAGACATAAGACGAACAACTGAAATTAGTTTTTAAATTATGCTTATGGTAAGCAAGAAATTATACATTTGATAAAAAATAAATTGCCTCAGGTTTATTTTGGGGGTTTCCGAAGGTTAAATTGATGCACTTACATGGTTCATGTAGTTGCTTTTCCTTTTTTCCCGCACTGGAATGAGACAAAATGAGTCAGACAGGCAAGTAGATAATAACCAAGCACTATACACACAGGAATACCGACCATCCGTCTGGGACTTGTTGAGGAAGAGGGTGCTGGCTCTGGGATGGTCCGATGGATTCGCCTCCTGGGCCAATTCTGTTGCAAAGAAAACATTTCATTGAACTTATGGTGACACGTTAACATCAGAGGGTATTCTCCTGCCCACGAGCCAAACCAACCATCAGGGAGCTCCCTGTCGCTGATGTGCTGCAGGTAGGTGCCTGTGTCCTCACTCACGTCCTCTGTGGTGGTGATGGGACACTCGTCCAGGTCCACGTGTCTCCGGTGGAGTTTTGGACTCTCTCCTGGAGAGAAGCAGCAGGACACGGAGCCTCCCATTGCTGACCTACAACTGTCCTGCTGCAGCCAGAGCTGGTTCCCATATAACTAAAGCTGGGCCTCCTGCTGACAACGCTGCACTGCAGGGGTCAAAGTTCAACCTAAACCTTTTAGGAAGGAAGCGGGACCTCTTAAAAACACATAACACCTTTAGATGGGTTTTATATCAGTTTCATGGCGCCAAACATTCAGCTTAGTGAAAATTTGACTCTCTAGCTGCAGAAAGGGGAGCATGGAACCACTAAGGTTTCTGCACAGACAGCTGACATATTCAGGGCGTCTGCATGCTTTTCCCAGGATTTGCATGGATGAAACCACCAGTTTCCCAACAATAACTATTTATAATACAATCTGATTGAACAAAGCGGATTTTCTAGTGATACAGCAGTCCCAGGTACTTCTATCTGCCTCCATGGCTATCCGGCTAACGCTTAGTTCTCCCAGGCTCGGCTGCTCCCCCTTCCCAGGAATAATGGATCAATCCATGTCCGCTGCAGCCGCAGGACCTGCCTCAGTATCGGGCTGACCCACCAGAAGAGAACACGGACTCAACACCTGGAAAAATCTCCAAACATAACCGGGAGCACAGGAAGGAAGCGCCTATTAATAATACAGAGAACGTCCATCTCGTCGCATTTGCAGGAGACACGTCCTCTACGTCACAGCGGTGGTAGCGTAGCAGCTGCGTTCAGAAGCAGCTTCCGAATTTTGGATTTCAAAATAAAATGCTGTTGCCTAATGTGTTGACTTTAGGCCATTTTATTAGAGATACATGTGCAAGCAGCTGGCTAGCACACATTGTGAATCAGCAGTGAGGAAAAAGTGATGCTTTCAGAATAAAATGACTTTTTAAATTAATCTTTAGCATGAAATTTGGTTAAACTTGCTGTCTGACAAAATATTAATCACTATGTTCAGCTTTAGTCGTCTTAGTCTTAATTACTATGCTTTTATTCTGAATACGTAGCGCCAATGAAACGGAAGCGACAATGTTTCAAAGCTAATTGATTTAAGTTTGATTTAATGAAGAGACCACGCCCCTCGAACAGCCTTCAGAAAAACACGCTGTCTCATTGGATAATATTATTTAAGGTGTAACGTAATTGGTCGATTCCTTCATCAATGGGACTACATTCGGACGGCTTTGTACTGTGATAGTACGGGTTTAACCTAATAAGAGACATTTTATTGTGATACATGCTCGGTGTGAACCTAAGTCCGTATTTGTCGTGGACTGGTACCGAAACATCAGTAGAACTAAACAAGTTTACACCTAAAAGTGGGCCGGTGCTGATGTTAAAAAGTAACAGAAGATGGCACTACTGAGTCAATAAGCTATCAAGATGCGAGAAGAAGAGTTTTCACACTGGCTTTGTTATTTATTTGAAACATGGCTCTTGTTCCTTATGAAGAAAACCCGCTTCCTGCACTTTCCAAACTCCATAACTCCTCAGCACAATTCCGATTTGCTAACCAGGAGCTCCGTCTGGCTCAGGACTGGAAGAGGCTAGGGGTGGCTGCAGTTGTCTGGGATGCAGTAAGTGACTCACTGCGCCGCAACTCCATGGGGTTCGGGAGAAATCTGCAATAATCCCCCCCCCCCTCCTCCTCCTCCTCCCCTCTCTTTCCCTTCCAGGCGGTTGTTATGTGTATGTACCTGGAGCTGGGAGCAGTGGAGCTAAAGGGGAAGAAGGTCGTTGAACTGGGAGCTGGGACTGGACTGGTGGGGATTGTGGCAGCTCTGCTGGGTAAGCTCATAGCTGACTGATTGGTGTTTTCCAATGCCAGTACCCAAGCCGATATTTAGTACTTTATGTTAGGTTTACATCCTACAAGTCTGTCTTTAAAAATACAAGATAATTGCTTACGGGTTGTGGCAGCGTTCATGTTTTTGAAAATGAAGGCATTTAAAGTGTACCTCAGCATTTGTCTGATGCTGATTATTGAAAAAAAGACTGAACAATAATTCATAAAACATACATTTTTTCCTAGGTGCTCATGTGACCATCACAGACAGGGAGCCTGCCCTGGAGTTCCTGTCCGCCAACGTTGCAGCCAACCTTCCCCCACCAGCCGGTGACTTGGTGGTGGTCTCTGAGTTGACCTGGGGTCAGGGCCTGGAGCGTTTCCCAGAAGGAGGATTTGACGTGGTTCTGGGAGCGGATATCATTTACCTGGAGGAGACCTTTTCCTCCCTGCTGCGGACCCTGGAGCATTTATGCTCGGACAGCACCGTCGTTTTGCTGGCCTGCAAGATCCGCTACGAACGGGACGCGCGCTTCCTGAGCATGCTGAGGCACAGCTTCACCGTGGAGGAGGTCCACTACGACAAAGACAGGGACATCCGTCTGTACAAGGCGTCCAGACTCCCTAGAAGAAGGGATTTATGACAAGTCAAATTTATATTTTACAAAGCAATCCGGGAGGGTTTAAGAGAATAAAAAAAAAGAAAGAAAAGAGCAAGAACACGTTTATTTTCAGCTGCCAAAACTCTCATTTATATGGCTCTAACATAAACGCAGTTATACATGTTAATGTTAACATTTAGAAAATGTGAATAAAAAAATTTAAAAGCAACATAAAAAAAAAAAAAACAATTTATGACCATACATAAGAGTACAATATGGCATTCTGTTTCATGAAAATAACAGCTTTGTTCTGATTTGGTCTCACTTTACATTGTGTTTTCAGGGTTTTGTGAAATTTGGACCAAATCCCGTCTTTAACCAAACACCCATCTGCGTTTGGGTCAGGGAGCAGTTAGCTCCGAGGCTTTCAAATTTTATTTTGAAATGTCTCAGGATTGTAAAAGCAAGGAAAGTGCACACACTGCTTTGTTTTCTTACAGACTCCTCAGGTGAGAGGGGGAGACATGGGGGCCTTTATAAAAAATGTTCCTGTTGAGGATAAAATGGAACATTAAACTGCAGAGACTCATCTTCCCTCCCAAACTGTCCAAATATGGAACCAGGTATGTTATACATTATAAAACAAGCAATCCGTTTATCCAGTGAGCTTCCAAATAAAGTTATGATGAATAGAAAGTACACCCTCTAAATCTTCAGGTTTTACCAGGTTCTAATAGTATTTATACAGATTAAGACCAGACAAAGTAAAAAACTTTTTAATTACAAGAAAAAAAAAATGAGAATAAAGGTAAAAATGTAATAGGAATATGACGCAAATCTGAGAACTACATGAAATATAATGTATTAAAATGAGGAATGTTGAGCATTTTGTGACGTTACACTTTGGTATCTTTTTAACAAATACAGAATTGCATCATTTTAAACAGCATCAACTTATTAGCAGGACTTTGAACAGTCTACGTTGAAGAGGAAAAAAAATGATTTCTTGTAATTTTATGAATTTCTTCTAGAATAATTGTGTCTATTCTCATGAGTTTATTCTTGTAATTAAAAAATGTATTCTCTTAGACAGGCCCTAATAGACATATACTTAAAAAACAATGTCATTTATCAAAGTTATGGCCCAATTTTAAAAGTTGAGTTAAAAACTAAGTACACCAACTGTTAAGCACGGTGGTGGAGGGGTGATTATTTGGGCCTGTGACATGCGAGGTCACCTGTCTGAACTTTCATTGGGCTACATTTCCACATTATTTCTCAATTTTTCTGCATTAAACGATGACTTTTTCAAATTAGGTTAGATTTAACTAACTGATAAAACCTAATAACCTAACCTGATTTAAAAAAAAGCCCTGCCAATTGTTATGTCTTAATACAGAAAAAACCCTCTAATTTACAGGTGTACTTTTAACTTTACTATATGCAGATATTCATTTTTACTGCAAAAGGACTTTTTGTAAAAAAAAAAAAAAAAAGTTTTAAAAATAAATGTTCATTACAGTTTTTTAAATTCACTTTTAACAACAAAAAAGAAAAAAAAAAAACATTGCGCTAACATAAAAATGATTTAGCTTTAATATTTTTATGTTCTAGAAAAAAAGACAAAATGGTGTCTCAAATGTTTCCCAAGTTCAATACTGTAATTTTAAAGCTGCATTTTACAGTTCATATTTAGCTGTTTGTCCTAAAAAGGCATATGTAGAAAAAAAAAATTAAAACATGGCGTCACAGAAGCAAATAAACTGAGAATAAACAAATACAAGTCAGAGACAAAACGACCCACCTACAGTTCATAGCGTGATTAGGTAACAGATTAATGCAAGTTAGGAATACAAACGTAACCTCTGAGTTATCCGAGCGACCGGCCTTTTGGGAGGTGGCTGATGTCACTTCCTCTTTGCTGGTGATTCAGCCCAGCTTGATTGGGCCCCAGTGACTGGAATGCTTTCCATGAGCTCTGAAATGCTCCCTGTCCTCTTATGAAGGAAAAGCGATGCGTAAAGAGGGACAGGTGTGTTTTATGTCTCAGTAATTCCCACTGTCAGATTTATCAGCAGTTTTTTTTTGTTTTTTTTTTGTAAGAAAGCAGGAAACGTAGAAAAGGAGGAGTGGCTTCCGGGTGCGGCTCTGACTGGAGTCTCTGTACATGGGGGGGCGCTCTACTCTGATTTGTGGCAGTACAAGTCTTTGAGGGCTTTGAGCTCCTCGATGAGGGTTTTGTTCTGGTTCTCCAGTACAGCCACACGGTTCTCCAAACACTTCACGTACTCCTTCTTCTTCCTGCGACACTCCCGGGCTGCCTCCCTGTGTCACACACACAGCCCAATAAAGTTTCGTATTACTTAAAAAAAAAAAAAAAAAAAAAATTATCACTGCCAGACGGTAACCAGCACCTGTTTTTCATTAGCCGGACCTCCCTTTTCCGTGTGACTTCCTCTGTACCACCTCCAGTTCCCAACGCAGGAGATGCTGCCATGACGACGCCCGGAGTGATGGTGCTGGTTGGAGCTGTCCGAATCTGATAGGCCTGGACGTCACCAGAAGCAGCTGATTGGAGAAAACCGACAGACATGCTGGATATGTTTAAGACAAACAGGAAGTGGCGCAGCGCCATGACTGTTCTAGTCAGTGAAACACAGTGAAGTTGCTGGGTAAACTAGCAGAGGGTGTCCTTGGTTTCACCTTGAACGACAACTTGGTTGCTGGGGACGAGGATCTGCTGGCCATCGCTAGTCTGGGCGTACTGCAGGATGGTGGTGCCGGGCTGAGAGGCAGCGGCGTTGGCCATGGTGAGGGTCTGCAAGCCCTGGACCCCATCTGTGCCGTTGCTGGCCAGCTGGATGGCACCTCCCTGAGTGATGGCAACTGTAGAGGGAACCACCGCTTCAGCTTCCACAGATCACACCTGAACCCCCCCCACACACACCCCACCATCCCAAGATTAAACTTACTGTACTGCCCACTGCTGGTCTGATAGATGGGGGTGGGCATGGTAACCGTGGTGATGGCTGGACCGGAGTCGTCTTCAGATTTCTCCTCCTCGATGCGAGGCACGGCGGGAGCGTCGGACGACAGGTCGTTGAGAATCTTCCTGTTTGGAAGGATCAGAGCAGACGATGAAGGTTTGGTGCTGAAACATCAGAAAAGTCTTCCTCTTCTCTCCTCTCTGACCTGTAGGACGGCCGTCTGGAAAGAATCTCTCTCCTCTTCTGGGAATCAGTGACGCTGTCCACAGACTCCTGGGAATCCTCGCTCTCCACAGTGGAGATCTGGAAGAGCAGAGGACTTTGAGTGGCAGAAGCCTGGTCAGGCGTGGTGAGGCGAGTTAGCGGCGTACCTGAACGGCCTGGACCTGAGGTGACTGGATGACGGAGGGCTGAGCTGCCTGGATCACGCCGTGTACCTGCACCGTCTGACCGTTGGGGAGCTGCACGATGGTGACCCCTGGGCTGCTGGAGGTCACCTGGCCTGCTGTGATGGGCGCCTGCAGACAGAGTGGCATACCAACGGCTCAGCTTTAACAAACCAACAAGAGCAGCAGTCTGGAAGTCGGCCATGATGGACAGAGGGAAGGCAGGAGGGGATTACCTGGGTGAGGGTGATCTGTTGCGCCTCGGACTCAGAGACTGCTGCTTCGCCGCTTTGCTGCACCTCTGAACTGGCTTCCATCTTCATCTAGAATCAGCAGCGAACAGAAACATTACATCAGGTCCTACAGAGCAGTGAGAAAGTATTCACTTCCCCCTTATATGTTTGGTTTGTGTACCAGGAAGAGTTCAGAGAAAGAAGGGCTCCAAACCAACCTGAGTTTAAAATGCAAACTACTGCTGATCAAAACCAAAACCTCCCTCTGATTCACCCACTTCCAGGTAGAAGAAAACTACTGAGAATTCAACACGGTGGTGGCAGTGTGGTGCTCTGGGACTGCTTTGCTTCACCATGAATTCTCTTCAGCAGAAAAGACATTTTCTGCGAATTTTCAGTTTGCTCCGCAAACTGAAAATTTGTTGGGTTCATGAATAAATCTGGTGCGTTTCCACCAAAAAGACCTTGATTTTAATTTGGTTTAAATCCAGTTTCACGGCGGTACAGGTCTGAAACCAAATCAAGATCTTTTTAAAACTGGAAGAAGTTTGGCATATTCCACAGATCCTTCACAATAAACTCTTTGGGGAAGGTTGGCTGATATTAGTGGAGTTATATGCAGTACAGAACATGTAAATAATAATAAAAGGTAGGCTTGAAAAATCAACAATACGCCATGTGGTGCCACTATAACTGAAGTATTTACATTATTATGAAAACAATCCTATAAGTGGGTTTTATTCATCAATTTATTACCAAGTCAGATATTGTCATTAATTCATAACATCCTGAAATCTTTAAGGAAATCAAGTGCTTAGTTTTAATCAGGAAATCTGTCAATAACATCAATGAAATACATATATAAGAATGATTGTATATACTTTTTAATCAGCATTTTCCCCACATTATGACGCACAATACAAGCTAACAAGATCATATCAATATAATATCAAGAAATAATATCTACTTCCAAAAAAAGCAGTTATTACTATTTTTGTATAATCACAAATAAATGTTTCAAAACTACTTTAGCCTAAAATATTCATATTAAAATTAATATGATTTTGGGATTATAGCCACTCTACAGGCAGATAATATAGACCTACTTTTTCAATAATAATTTAAAAGTATTTTAATATTATTATTTTAATTGTTGTTTTATTGCTACTATAAAGCGCTAAAATAGCCCAATGGTTTGCTGCAACATTTTGATGCCTCCTTCTCTAACCATTATTTATATTCAATATGTAAGAACATGACTCAATATTTAAGTAAGGCAGCCGGAAAAGTGAAAAAGCCAGTTGTCAACATTCTTCTAGTCGGGAAAAATGTGATGCCATCTGGCGGATAAAACTTGTCGTGGTGAAAACTTAAAGAAAAAGTTTAAATATATACATAAAACTACAATTGGCAAGAAATAAATAGCACGTCTACAATAGCAAGCTAATAATAGGCTGAAAACCTGAATAATTCAGCACCTTTCAGTCGCTCCAAAACTGGTACTTCATTTTATGGGCGTTAATTACATATTTCCCTCTCGTCCGTTTCAAAATCAAAATAGCAATGACGTCATTGATAATTGTGTTACAATTTTAACATTCTATGTTGGCGGCAGTAAGAACAATCGTTAGCGCATTTGGGATTTTCCCTCAAAGCTTTTATAAACATAACTTGAAACAATCAGGAAAACCAGGTGATAAAGTTGCATCCACATTGCTCTGTCCTACTGTACAGTAAACTGCACAGCAGTTTGGAAATGTTGAGTTCTGGCTCTGACAGAGGGTGTGGTTTAGCTTTACGGACTGCAGAAAAACGCAGTTAAAACATATGCACCAAAGTTCACCTGAGCTACATGAAAACTTGGCAAAAACTGCTGAATTGCGTTTTAAAAACTATGCATTATTTTATTTCTAGCCTGCAGCTAATTGAACAACTAGGGATAGCATTCCTATTAATGTTAGCATGCTATGTGGCTAACATCACTGCAATGAATGACGCTAGACTTTAGCAAAAGTTCAATTATGATATATTAATACTCCAGTTACTTAGCGTTAATGTTAATATATATCTCAATGTTTAGAGCCTGGTGTTATCATTTCAATGTAGCTTTCCCTGAAGCCGTGTTAGCCGATACCGCTATTTTGCTAGCTGGAAGCTTGCATGGAGGGAAATGTCTGCATGCCAGTTTTTTTTTCTTTACAACAGGACACATTTACTACTTTATTTCATCCGTCATAAGCCATTACTGGTTGAAAATAAGGCTATGTTAACGTTGAAGAGCAATGTGGTTCAGAAACTAATTCCTGTGCATTTTTATTAAATTAAATAATAAAACCCACTCCCACATTAATACCTATGTCTCAGCCTGCAGAGACTGACTCATTTTGTGAGCCTCCGCCGCTGCAACAGCCGCCGCCATGATCTCTTTGTTGGCCCTGTGCGGAAATTTGGCTACAAATATCGTCAGCGGGCAGCCATATATATTATCTGTTTAGCAAACATCGGACGCGTGTCCTCTTACCAACACAGACTCGCTTCGTCACTCCCGGGTCTACGGAGCTCCACTTTTATTCAGACCGACACGTAAGAGACCGCGTCAGGCTACACCTCCGTCGCGTCACCGAGAACAACAACACGGAGAGGAGGACGAGGCAGACGACGACAGCGAAGGATCAACTCTGGCGAGAGGATCCGAGGGTCGGCGGGTGAAACCGAAAGGTTACGGAAAATGCCGACTGTAGGT